CCCGCCGAGGGCCATGAAAGCACATGGCCTCCGACTTGTTAAGCGCCACCCGGAGTCCCAACATCTCTATTCTACCGACAACCTGTGCCACCGCCTCCGTGGCAAGACGGGCAGCGTCCGCGAAGGTCTCACCTCTTACCATCACCAACGTGTCATCTGCGTAGCAGATCACGCTGGCGCCCGGAGGGAGATCTCCCCGTAACACCCAATCGAATCCGATGTTCCACAGGAGCGGTCCTAGCACTGACCCCTGCGGGACCCCACACGACATTACCGTTTGCAACAACCGCCCCTCCCGCCCAGGGTATGAAATGTACCTCTCAGACAGGTAGGCCCCGATGATCCGACGTAGGTAGGGAGGCACCTCATGGTACTTCAGTGCTTCCCCAACGCAACCCCACGGCAAGGAATTGAACGCGTTGGCGATGTCTAGAGACACCGCCAGCATTACCCCGCCATGGTTTACCACTTCTTCTGAACAGGCTTTGACGCGAATGATAGCGTCAATCGTTGACCGTCCTACCCGAAAACCGAACTGATGGTCGGATAAGTCGGGACCCTCTCTGCCGAGATGCCGGATGAGGCGACCAGCTATGATTCGCTCAAACAGTTTATCGGCCTCATCCAGCATGACAATTGGACGGTAGGCAGAGGGAGAATCTGCGGGGCGTCCGTCCTTCCTCAAAAGCACGAGTCTGCCCGTCTTCCACATACTTGGGAACCGGCCCGTCTCCAAACAGGCATCTAGGAGCCGTCGGAACCGGTTCTCGAGAGCATCTAGGGCCAATACCCATGCACGCCCAGGAATGCCATCAGGGCCCGGAGCCCTGATTTTGGCTCTGAGTCTTAAAATGGCCGCACCGAGTTCTCCTTGTGTCACAGGGGGTACAGGTATATCGATGTCTTCTTGTTCCACTTCTCGAGGAAGTGCCATCACCGGAGGCTGGTGTTCTGCTCTGTTAGGAAACAGGGCTGATCAGCTGCCCGCCACTCGCAGCTGATCAGAGGCAGGGAGTGGTGCCAGCTCATTCAAAGCACCATCCAGTGGCTGGAAGTTCAGGGAAAACAGTAGACCTTAGCGCCCAGAAAATAACTAAAGGAAAGGCCTCTAAAGGTAAAGCGGTAGGAAAGGTCCAGGTAGCATCAGGTCCTCCAACAAACAAAGGGGCGAAGGACCCTTTGAACCAGTCGGGTTCTCGTCCTCCTGCAAGAGGTCCACAAGAGCCGGAATCTCACTCCTTCCCACCGGAAGACTTGCCAAGAGACGAGGGATGGACAACAGTGGTGAGGCGACGTGGCAGGGCCGCGGCAGTTTCCCAACCGAAGATGGTTGCTCATCCTAAGACCCAATCTGTGAAGTTGCGCGCCCCTAAGTCTGCAGCTGTAGTCATTACACTGCAGCCAGGGGCTGAGGAGAAAGGCATAACGTATGCCAAGGTCCTTGCTGAAGCGCGAGAAAAGGTGGATCTCGCCAGCTGCGGGATTACCGGCCTGAGATACCGGCAGGCAGCTACTGGGGCACGTATGTTGGAAGTGCCGGGCGCAACGAGTGGTGAGAAGGCGAACAACCTTGCCCAAAAACTGAGGGAATCACTCAACGCAGAGTTCGTCAGGGTGTCCCGACCTGTGAAAAGTGCAGAACTGCGCATCTCAGGCCTAGACGAATCCATTACTGTCACGGAGCTGACCGCCGCCGTAGCCAGTTACGGGGGCTGCTCCGTAGACTGTATCAAAGTCGGAGAAATCCGACTTAACTCCCAGGGGATCGGTGCCGTCTGGATGCGTTGTCCCGTCACCGCAGCTAAAAAGCTGGAGACAAGTGGTCGCCTGCTTGTTGGTTGGGTTGCAGCACGAGTAAAGCTGCTGCAACCCAGACCTATGCAGTGCTACCGGTGCCTTGAAAAGGGGCATGTGCGCGCACAATGCACCGCAGAAGTCGATCGCAGTGATCTATGTTACCGCTGTGGTCAACCCGGCCATCAGGCGGCCAAGTGTACTGCCGAGCCCAAATGCTCATTGTGTGTAGCGGCTAACCGACCTGCGGATCACAGGATAGGGAGTATGTCGTGCTCCCCTCCTAAACCAAAGAAAGGAACAAAAGCGACTACAAATACGTCAGCTGCTGTTACTCCGGCAGCCAACAGCCGCCCTCCTTCTCAAACGGGGGCAGAGGAGGCAATGGTCATAAATTAACTCATCAATTATGACTCATCGTCTCCTACAGGCGAATATTAACCACTCCGCCGGCGCGCAGGACTTGCTGCTGCAGAGCATGGCGGAATGGCAGATAGAAATAGCTGTAGTCGCCGAGCCATACTACGTTCCTCCCAGAGATAACTGGGTAGAAAGCGTGGATGGCTTGGTGACCATCATTTCCTTGATGGCCTCTGGGGTTCCACCTCTCACGACGATCGCGAAGGGAAGGGGGTATGTGGCTGTCCAATGGAGAGAAATAGTACTCATAGGAGTGTATTTCTCTCCAAATAAATGCCTCGCCGATTTTGAGGCATTTCTGGACGGGGTCGGGGCCCTTATAGGGCAAACCCTGCCTCGTCCAACTCTCCTCGTGGGGGACTTCAACGCGAAATCCTCGGCGTGGGGATCCCCCAGGACAGATGCGCGCGGTGCAGTGCTCGAGCAATGGGCAATGGAGACTGGCCTCTTGGTGCTTAACCATGGATCAGTCAACACGTGTGTGCGACGACAGGGTGGATCCATCGTAGACATTTCGCTCTCATCTCCTGCTGTTGCACGCATGGTTCGGGATTGGCGGGTCTTGGAAGGGGTGGAGACGTTGTCGGATCATTTATATATTCGATTTGACGTCTCCACATCTCCTATGACCCCAGCCAATCGTCGTCATCTTCGTACTCCGACGCCTACGCGATGGAAGCTGGAGACTTTAGACCGGGAGGCGCTTATCGAAGCCTCAATTGTGCAGTCGTGGCTTGCGCCTCCGGTCGAAGCCGTGGAGGTTGAGAACGAAGCGGAATGGTTCCGGGACGCCATGTCGCAAGTATGTGACGCAAGTATGTCGCGAGCCAAGCCTCAACCTCCAAAGCGTCGTGTGTACTGGTGGTCTCAGGAGATTGCAGATCTCCGTACAAACTGCGTCGAGGTGAGACGCCAGTACATAAGACACCGTAGACGGCGGCGCCGCAACGCTGATGTGGAGGAACAGTTGTATGGGGCATACAGACAGTGTGTTACGACTCTTCAGCTGTCCATCTCCAACGCTAAGACCCGGGCAAAGTCTGAGCTACTCGAGACTCTCAGTCATGATCCGTGGGGACGCCCTTATAAGGCGGTAAGGGGTAAAATCCGCCCCTGGGCCCCTCCATTGACAGAGAGTCTCGAACAATTTCGACACTTAAACTAACTTACAATTCACTATGGTATTAATTAGTTCTGGAGTATATGTTTAGATTTAAATAAGTGCTATAGATATTATCCTACAAACCAAGGTCATCATCATCATATCGGCCGGAAAAGTCCCTCAAGGACTTCCAGTATTAGGGGGCTGTCCATATATTAGGGGGCAGTCCCACTCAACGCCTTCCGGTTCGTGATCTCCATTCGAGAATCTTTGACGATCGTCAGTTCTACGAGCTATGTGCCCTGCCCACTGCCATTTCAACTTGCTAATCGAGCTATGTCGGTGACTTTCGTTCTTCTACGGATCTCCTCATTTCTGATTCGATCACGTAGAGAAATGTCGAGCATTGCTCTTTCCACAAGTCGTTGAGTGACGTTGAGCTTTTTTATGAGGCCCATACTAAGTGACCACGTCGCAGTGCCGTAGGTCACAAACCAAGATAGCGTCTCAATTTTGCATTTCTTGACATCATCCTCAATGTCACTTAGCACTCGGTGTCCCGGCAAAGTATATGTTGTTATAGAAACTATAATATAGTTACAGAAACTAGCCTACGTTAGTAAAAAAAGTTGGCAGATAATAAAAATTTCATTAGGTTATACACCAAGCCTCCACAGGCTTCACACACGTGGATTCCAGAACACACGTGTGTGAAGTTTCAGTACTTAGATGTATCACAAATCTGATACTTCCAGACCAACAGCATGAGGCTGTTGGAACTGCATCATAAAACCATTATTGTATTGGACACACAGGGCGTTGATCGTTTTGTTAGTGTAACAAGCTGCACGTGTAAAAAGTTTGTAATAAACTATATTATGTATAACGTAGATAAGAGTAATAGGACGTCCCTGACTCGTTCGACTGTGCCACTGCCGGGGATTTTTTAAATGATAGAATAAGTGCACATTTCTGCCTTCCTTGTCTATTGCCGCAACGCAGCTGTAGCGCCACAGTGGCGCCCTTCTACAAGCGTCTAATTTGAAGGTAGGCACCTTGTAAAGGCTTACGGGTTCAGGGCGCTCACTCACCGCGAATATTCATTCCGTAATGCAACATTCAAGATTTGTTTTCAAGTATTACATTACAAACTACCTTCCTCGCCGAGGAGCACTCGCCTGTAATATAACCTCCAAGATTCGATTAGGCTGCGATTCCATCAGAAATGTGCGAAGTAGCGTGCGTGCGAGTGTCTCTGAGTGCCTTTGAGTCCCTTTGAGTGCCCGTCAGAGCCAGCGAGAGCCAGGAGTGACCAGCAGTCAAAGGCACTCGCAGGCACCTAAGTAAAGACTTGAAAACATTTCCACTATATTTGGTGGAGTCGCAGCCTTACAATTTGAACAGATTGTTTACATTACAGGCGAATGCTCGGCACTGTCTGTAATGCTCGCTTTTTAACAATGTGTCGCTTTTGATTAATGTGACGATTTCAAGTATAATTTGCTTCCAGAAATACTTAGAAATTACAGTAGAATATCTTCAAGAGTTAATACGTGTTATCTTTTACACTTTTATTTTGTCGTTAAATGAGAAAGTAAACAGTCTTTGCAAATACGTTCTATAGTGTCACCATTCTCTCTCACTTGCCACTTGTCAAATTCTAATGAAAATACGCGGAAATATTTGCCGCTGACTTTTCTTTTGAAAAACAAATCTGTAATATAATTAAATAAATAATTATTTATTGATAAAGTCGTTTGTGATTAGTGGATTTAAGTTACGAAATGATTGCCACAAAGGTAATTTTATGAAAATTGTTTATCTTGTAAAAATTGACAATTCATTGTTTTTACCAACACGAGAACATTCTAGACTTTATTTAGTTATCAAATTGGTGAGAAAAAAAAGAAAAATAATTCTTAAGATAAACCAACAGCTCTGCAGTATCATAATTACATAATCACAAGTTATATTCTTACGTGGTACTCCCACAATACTCGTTGAATAGCAAAACATGCAGAAACCTCTAAAATTACTTCCAAATTCAAATTCAAAATAATCTTTATTTCATAGGTAAGCATTATTACACTTGAAATTGTGTAATAATGCTTACCTATGCGGAAATCTCGATTTTGGCTATATATATATATAGCCCCTAATAACATGAATTTTTAAAAATATTTAATAATATACTCCCGGACACATTCGAGCCATCTCGCATTTTTGTCATAAAGGGCTAGAAATACAAAAATGGTGTTATCACCTAAAAAAAGTTTTCCTCATGTTGCAAATCCAAATTCCCGACAAGGACTTATGGAAAAGACATTTAGTATAGTACCTTCAACATTGCATTATAGTTTTTATCTACACACGTATCATAAACTCTCTATAATGTGTTCAAAAACTGCAAATTACGACCAGCATGAAGGTAAACTGTTTTGTTAGAACAAATTTCTTATCTGTGAAAATGTTATTATTGCTTCCTAATAACATCGAATTCGATGTTATTATTACATTTCAATTTCAAACATCTCTGAAAACCAAAACAATTGATTCGACCTCAATCTAATATCAGTCGAGATGAAGTTTGATTTAAAATGAAATGTCAATAGCAAACAATTTTGACAAATCTCACATGTTACTTGATATCGAACGATACCATCTGATTCTATTTTGTCTATGAATTTAAAATAAAAACTACGGTTGTGTGACATGCATAAGAAAAGTTTTTATTTGCCGCCATTTCGCCATTTGTAACATGCGGTTCCTGAACACGTTACAGAGAGCTTATAATATGTGTCTAGATAAAGCAGTGCATGTAACTGTACACAATTAGGCGTTAAAACACTCGTGAGATGTTTTTATGAAACTCGCCTGAATAAACCCACACTCGTATTTTAATGCTTTTCATTATGTAACGGTCACATAAACTACTATTGATCAATCAAACATCGTTTAAGTTTAGGGCACTTAGTACTGAAAACGCATGGTGACTCAAATTATGTGTCCAGAAGTATACGGGGTTATTTTTTAAATACTAACAACCTCACATATTATAACAACAATTTTTATTCCACCATTTAATAAATTCATCATATTTTACTACATAGTATACTAAACAGCTCTATACGGTAATAACTTTTTTATAACATGAAGTGATGGGACGAACAAGTTGTACACATGATGATAAGGGATGTTAAGCACGCCTCACAGTGGGCCCAAATTGATAATTCTTGGACATTGGAATAACTTGTGGAGTATCGAGCTAATTTTTATGTGATAGATTATAACATTCCTAACAACTTTTATTATTGTATAATTTCTTGAAAAGTTGATAGTTTCGGAGAAGAAAAATAATAATATTTTTTATGGAGAAATTTTCTTCTTCATCTTATTTTTTATCTCAAAATATACGAAAATGTAATGTGCGTGGGTTACTTACAGTACAGTATTTTTCTATGTAGAAAAAAATAATCCGTCTGCATTACTTCCGACTTTGTAAGTAAAGGTGCAGCAAAATTGCCAACATTTTAATGTAATTTTTTAACAAAATACATGAGCTGCGACTAAAGAAAAACTAATTTTAGTGTAATTTAGAGAATGTTATAACAATAAAACGAAAGTTAAGTCGAAACTAGTATATTGTGTTAAAAAATAAATAACAAATCTAAAAATTTGCCATCTTGCTCTTAAAACCGCATGTACCTGAAGATGGATTCTTTTTTTCTTGATAGAGAATGATTGGACCTATACTGTAAATAAACCACACCCATTATATTTTTGTACATTTCGAGATAAAAAATAAAATGTTTATTTCTCCAAACAAAAAAAACAAAAAACATCAGGAATGTTATTTTGTATCGTATGAAAAGAAATCAGCTCTGTATTCCTGTATATGTTTTAAACATAACCTTGTATATAGAGTGTTTTTTTTTAAATGGGACAGTATGGGGAAATCCAGAACCATAGAGGATATAAGCAAACTGTCTTAGGAGCCATTAAGCCTTTTTTTGTGAAAACAATTTTGTGATAGTCAATTTTTTTGTCAAGTGTGGGTTGTCCATAAAAATGAATAAAATTAACCAACATTTTTTTTAGTGCTTTTCGACTCATTTAGGGATAATTTTATTCTATGGGACGAAAAAAACCGGGACAGCAGAAGTTGGTCAAATTTAATAAAATGTTTTTTCATACAGAATATAGGTTTAAGAACCAAAATCCCTATCATAAAAACCAAAAACTTATAATTTCTTCAAAGGTGAGAGAATAAACTATTAACATCTATTATTTCATTTTCAGCTGGAAATATTAGTGGACTTTGGGCCTAAACCAGACATGTGTTGTGTGGAGAAAACTATTAACAAACTCAAAAGTGTGGATGGCGTTAAACAGGTACCTACCACCATCACTTAGCCACCTTATCTTTAAAATAGCTGAATGTTCATGAAATATAGCTAGGAATCATCCCAAAACAGAACCACATTCAAATGGTATGATGGTGTAACGGGTTGTTGTTCGCAACTCAACGTCCAAGCGCCTATTTTGCGTGTGGTGGGTGCAGGGTCCTACTCGTGTCTCCCAAGCTATTCCAAAAATCTCAGCCAGTCAGACTAACTGACAGCGTGGCCACGCTGCCGGAGCATTGCAGTAGGATGTGCGCTGCGGTTTCCTCCCCTTCCACGCATGCTCTGCATAGAGGGCTGTCCGTGATATCTAAATTGAAAAGGTGTTTATTATGTGGACCATGACCCGTTAGAGTGGCAGTTCGAATGTGAAGGTCTTGCCTTTAGTTTGATTAATTGTCGAGATAGACTGGCGTTGAGCTTTGGGAGGGCTACCCTCGCCTGTCTACAAACCGTAAGGGTTGTCTATGCGTTATTATGAGAAGATTTTGTACCTTTGTATGTAGCCGTTCTTGACCATTGGTAGGTGAGGGTCACTATGGATTCTGGTCCTTCAGCGTCCGTTTCGGACCCTTTTCTGGCTAGTTTATCTGCTGCGTTATTGCCACGTGAGCCGTTGTCCTTTAATCAACTGTGTATACATACTTCCATGAGTGCATGATATCATTCGTAAATCGACCCCTCCTACGTAAAGTATCATATGTCCAAATTGCGAAGTTTTCAGGGGAGCATTTTAAAGATTGGAATTCACTGAAATTAGTATAACCCGTGACTTTAGCATTTTTCAGTTTTATTCGGCAAAGCAAGTTACTCACACAAAATCCTAGATATCGGTTAGATGAACAACCACAATTTATTTTATAATTTTATACTAACGCAGATGTGCGTCAACAAGCGGGTAAACTAAAGTGAGTCTGGGCGGGTCGGGTGACGCTCCCCTGTAAACTTGGCAATTTCGACATACGATACTTTACGTAGGAGGGGTCGAAATGAGCCCTGAATTTATGTCATAGCTCTTCAGTGTTTGAAGTACTGACATGCTGTCGGAGAGTATTCGAATGGATTGATGCTTTATCCTTCTCTATTCTATTTCCTTCATGGCAGCTACTAGGCTTAGGCCAGTTCGGTTTCGATTATTGTTGTTAGTTAATATTGTTCAATAACGCCAACGTTTTGGTAGCATCAAGGTATTTATTTTTAGATGAATCTCTTCGAGGGAATGCTGTTGTGGAGATCATACCTGGGGTTTTACTCTTCTCGCTATGATTGTTTCTGCTGCCAACTTCATACCCATGCATTTTTTTTATAATATCAAGTGACGGGACGAACAAGTCGTACGCCTGATGGTAAGCTACACGCCTGTTCATAACAGTTGCAGTGCCACTCAGTGCTTTAAATCGCAAAGATCTGAGGGCACTGCCACTGCGCCCGTCACTCTGAGACATAAGTCGATGTGCTTGTAATTTCACCAAAACCCTTCAAAAGAAGTCTTTCACAAGAAGCTCTACTGCTACATTCAACCTGGAAACTGTGTTGTGGTCATTAAGCAGTGTTGATATCCAGATATTGAGGTTACCTGTTCCTAAATTTGTTTTTGGTCTAGATTATATTTTTTATTACTTGTTCTACAGGCATGTTTCAAAGAGGGTGCGATCGTAGTAGAAACCACACTACCCAGTTCTCAGGTTCTTGATTTGGTCACCAGTGCGTCGGGCAAGAGGGCTGTGTTGCAGGGCTTTGGCGGTAAGTTATCATTGGAGGCAAACTTGACTTATTATCTAAGGCACTAGTGTTACGGAAGTCTGAAACAACGTCGGTACAACAAACAACCTAACAAAATATTGCGGTAAATACTTACATACATATCATCACGCTTGTCTCCCACTGGGGTAGGCAGGGACTATGGACCTTCACCGGTAAATACTATACCTAATGTGAACATATGTCCCGCTTTGACAAAACAGGAAACATGTGACAAGAAATACTTAAAAAAGGCGCGAAAACGAAAAATATCGCACTGCTATTACAATAGTTTTATAACTCACAATATGTGAAATTTAAGATTATACCATTGTTGAACGGAAAATTTGATTCTCTACACGTCAATAAAACCGTCATTAGAACATTGTAAAAAACAAGTAAAATATATCTACTTAACGACTTAACTCAAAATGAGACACGCTTTATGTGAGCTAGTTCTGGCCAAAATAGTCCTTATTCAAAGATATGAAACTATTTTTTCTCTTTTATTTTTAAATATATATAGTTTGCAAGTAGGAAATAACTTATAGATAAATTTACACAGATCTTTCACGGGAAGCGAGTAATTCGTTTTTCGTCGATACTGAGAAAATACACTTTTTGAGTTAAGACACTATTGTATTAATAGTGCGATATGTAAAGCCAGCCCACCGGACTACACAAGATAGTTCTTTTTAAAATTTGTGACCATTAAACATTTTTAGTTCTTTTTTATTTTTTTTAACGATTGAACATTTGGTTTTATTTTTAATACACAAGAAATCTGCAAATGTCCGAGGGAAAGAAATAATGGTCATGTTACTGATCGCAGTATTTTGTTATTATTATTTTTTCATTAATAGCATTAATAGATATTTATTGATCTTTCAAAATGATAATATAGTATTAGAATAGTTTTATTTGAGATTTAAGAATTGTCTTCTTAGAATTTTTATTTGTTGTTAATATGTTCATAAACTTGATCCCATAGATAATTGAAATGTTGCCCTCTCTGTGTATTTTGCTGTCCCCAGCAGGGTCCCAAAGCACTCCTTGCCCGTGGACGACCTGACTGGTTCAATTACCCCGGGCAATTATTTCTTCCCGTGGGTCACCTATGTCCACCTGGACGGACCATGGGCAATTATTTCTTCCCGTGGTTCACCTAGGGATTTTTCTTTTCTCGTGAATCACGTTATTAATAAAATCCCTTTAACATTTCAATTACAAAGATGTAAGACTATTTTGTTGTCTATTAATTTAATATTTTAATGAATCGAATTTGTTGTCAGAAGTTGGCCGAAGGACTAAAATACGAATAAATTAAATTTTAAAAGTATAAAATGAGTAGTGAAGAATTTAATTTCGTCCTGAGAATAGGTGGCAGTAATATTTATGTACAAGTTTAGAAACGATTAATGTTGATGTCTTAAAATGCTAGTGACAATTTTATTTTTCCTATATCTTTGTTTTCATTTTAGAGTTTAGCCAACAATATACAAGTTTTATAAGTATTGTAAAATTTGTGGAGTTAATTAAATAATAATAGTAATAAACATCGCGCAATAAACATAAAAAAGACTTTTTGTGCATCAAACTGTAAGTTATGCATATATTTTTTTAAACTATATATATGTAATTATAATAATAACGCACACACTCAACATAGCCCCGCACTAGGGAAACCGAGAATTGCGGGTGCCATGGACATACACATTGACAACCACAAATTACATCCAAACTCACGAGAGAAATAAATGTAGGCCATACAAATATTTCTCCCGGCCCGGGAATCGAACCTGGGACCTCTGCGTGGCAGTCCGGCTACAGAGGCAGTTAATAATGGCCAGCATCAAACTGTTAATGTTTGACGTGGACCACCACCAGTATAAGTTTTGCGTATTTCTATTTTATACGTAAGAGGTGAACCACGGGAAGAAATAATTGTCCGTGGTCCATCCAGGTGAACCAACCAGGTGGTCCCAAAGCTCTAATATTAGTAAGACCCTTTGCTACATTGTATACTTTTATTTATTTATTTATTTATTCATACATTGCAAACTAACAGCTAAGTAGCCAAAGCGCTTACACGTCATACAATTATTATGATAAGTATTACAATTCAAAAAATAGTTAACAGCAAATTATTCTAGTCCTTATTCTAACATTTTATGATAACGCTGACTACACAATGTAGGGAGACATCTCTCTACATATATAGCCAACGCGATCAGCGAATAAATCAATTGAGTCACATTGAGTGAGTATGTCCCCGATCAGGCTTATTGCGCGAATGGTAGGCGCGTTTTCAGCGTACAATGTGCGCGTGCGGGGCTTGCCTAACAGCCGTGGATATCGGCGCGGGGCCACCGCACCCTCATCACTCCACAGGATACGAGTGGGCACCAACAGATCCACCTTACTTATTATGCCACTGTCCACCCTGTGGTGGATCGCGGAAACAAAATGAGCCAGCAGCTGCATCTTTCGCCTCCGAGACAAAGTGTCCAACTCTACCATACCCGAAACAAAAAGCGATGGATACAAGTACGGGTAATACCCGTACTGCCGTTTATAAAGCCAACGTGCAAACTTACGCTGAACTCGTTCCAACATTATAGAGTATTTATCTTCATAAGGGTCCCAGACTACAGCTGCATATTCCAGCTTGCTGCGTACGTAGGCGCTGTACAACATCCTCGCCACAGCCACGTCATTGAATTCATATGATGTCCGTATAACAAATTTTGGGAATGCAATAAAGTATTGCCCTCACATTACCGATTTCTGTTGCCAAGCAGTAATGAGAACATTACTGTGTTCCGATTTGGAAGGGCTAGCGTTCCCATTATGTCGTGACGACAAATAGTCGTGCAGTTGAAACTGTGGTGTCTTATATATTTAAATGAAGTTGTTCACACATAGAACAACACGATTAACTGTTGTTAACTGATGAAATGTGATTCCGTTTGTTTTGTAATTAATGTTTTGCTGTTTTTCCCACACCACCGAATGGAACAGCCCCCCCGTTGTTTCGACACCTCCTACGTAAAGTATCGTATGTCGAAATTGCCAAGTTTACAGGGAAGCTTTTTATAGTTCTGAATTCACTGAAATCAGCATAACACGACAAAGCTAATCTAATAGATCATCTAACCGATATGTAGGATTTTACAATACTCTGTGTAAGTAACCGTTTCCGAATAAAACTGAAAAATGCTAGTCACCTGTTAAGCTCCTTTCAGTGCATTCAAAACTTTAAAACACTTCCCTGTAAACTTGGCAATTTCGACATACGATACTTTACGTAGGAGGGGTCGAATTATATTATCTTTATTACAATAAATACAGAATATTTTTGGAAGAGAGTCGATATTTAAAAGTAATATAAGGCCCATTTGCCTGACGAGTTGCCAGGGATGGATGGCCCTTATTTCGTCTCTATTTCTGGTTATATACTCGATGCTTGGTTACTATCCCCAGACACTCAATCTGCAGTAGCAATGATATCAAGTGGTTCCTGCTGCCACGGTGGCTTGGTTGGCGTCATCCGCTTCCAGCAGTCGCCCCAGGGCCTCATTGCAGACGGGACCATTGATGGTCTACCGTGCGGAAGCCACGGGTTACACGTGCATGCTAGTGGAGATCTTAGTGATGTGAGTAATTGTTGTATAACGTATTTGTCATAGATTTCTCATACATGGCGCTACGGCTAAAAAGTTGTTAAAAAACCAAATACAAAGACACGACAACAAAAACACAGAAAAATTTGTGATGTCCGCTGGTTCGTTCCGTGGCTTAGTTGGTATAGCGTCTGCCACGGTAAGCTACAAGACGTCGGTTCGAATCCGGCCGGATCGAAGGAATTTTTTCCGAGTGTTCGATCTTTGTACAACTATAACTAACTAGTGGAGTAATTTCACATAAAAAATAGTTGAATATCAATTCAATAATTTAAATACAATGAATAGCGACATCTCTAGCCAGGGCTGGTAGCTGTAAAGGTATCTAAGTGGGTGACGAAATATCATAGATTTCTCGTTGATGGCGCTACGGCTAAAAAGTCGTTGAAAAAAAACCAAATACAAAGACACGACAAGAAGCACATAGACAAAATTCGTGAGGTCCGCTGGTTCATTCCGTGGCTTAGTTGGTATAGCGTCTGGCGCGGTATTCTAAAAGACGTCGGTTCGAATCCGGCCGGATCGAAATTATTTAAGAGAAAAACGCCTTGAATTGGAGAATAGCAAAATCGACCATTAAAATAATTGCTCCTTATAATAAAATTTAGGCGCTTCTTATAAAAATGGATCTTCATGCGTGAACAGCCACCTTTAGAGGTGGATGATTTTCTTCAAAATTAACCATGAACCACTATGGAGGTACCCTCTTTTTCAACAAAAAAAGAATCATGAAAATCGGTTCACAATTACCGGAGTTATCGCGTAACATACATACAAAAAAAAACGTACAGCCGAATTGAGAACCGCCTCTTTTTTGAAGTCGGTTAAAAACTAATAACAAAACGAACGCCCCATTAATTTACCGGTTTGGTGCAACAAGAGCCGATAACACAAGGAAAAAAAATTATTTTCAAATATTTGTAATGGTTTTAAAGTAATAGTAATAACACCTGAAACTTTTAGCTTAAATCATTGGACAAATAAATAATAAAGTATATAAGAGTGATATTACAAATATTAAAAATCTCACTTTTACGTGATACGTCCTTGTTACACCCAATGCTTCAATTAGCTTACCTATACCAATAACATAAAGATATTTTGAATTTCACTTATGCCTCCGACAGGGTTGCAAACGAATTGGTGAGCACTATAATCCAAACAATTGTTGCCATGGCAGCCCTACCGACCCACCGAGTTCAAGACACGCGGGGGACCTAGGGAACATAGTCGCAGATAACACAGGCAGGGCCACGTTTAAAATCTGTGATGAGGTCCTTAAGGTAAGTAAACTTATTATGGTTTGTCTGCTCGAGTTTTAGAATCTATCTCTCTACTTTTAGGTCGGTCAAAATGGTATATAGTTATTAGACATAGCAAATTCGTAAAGAAAGTTCGTAATAGCATTTGGTTATGAGTCTCCAAATCTATTGTTATCAGTCCGTAGACAACATAAATTAATACTTACTGTCATTTTACCAATATTACATACGCGGAATTGCACTGTCCCCGACGTTATTTCAATGGCTCTAGTGAAAAGGGGTATAAGTGAAAAAAAAACAAACTTTACAAGGAAACGCGAAAAACACTTAACGCCTAATATCATATCACACATATACTGCTATTCTACGGCCACTGTAATCTCAGTATTAGCAGTCCTAGAGTTAATGGTCCATGGTGATGTTCAATATACTTAATAATATTAATGAGTATCATATATACACGCACAGATTAGCAGTCCTAGAGTTAATGGTCCATGGTGATATT